GATGCTGCTTGGCCTGCTGTGTTCATCCAGCCCTGCACCTTGTTGTCACCAGGGATACTGTCTGGAATGGAGCATTTCAGTGATGAAGAGAGGCTGGATAAGCTCGGGTTGTTTTCTTTGGAGCAGAGAAAGTTAAGGAGGAACCTGATAGAGTTGTGTAATATTGTGAGGGCATGGACAGGGTAGATAGAGAGCAGCTGTTCCCCTTTGTTGAAGGGGCATAATTTTAAAATAAAAGGTAGGAGGTTTAGATGGGATTTGAGGAAAAGCTTTTTCAACCAGAGGGTGATGGCAGCCTGGAATACACTACCTGGGCGGCTGATTGAGGTGAGAAACCTCACAACCTTGAAAATGTGCTTTGGTGAGCACTTGAAGTGTCGTAACTTTCAAGTCTGTGAGCCTGTTGTGGGAAAGTGAGACCAGTGAAGGGAATAGTATACTTTTGGTGACACAGACTTGATTGGCCAAACAACATCTTCCGTATGTATGTTTTCACAGAATTATCGAATCAACGTGAAGTGTAGAGAGAGGTTGGCAGTGTCCAAGTATAATATGAGTAACCATCGACCTGAGAAGTTAATTGCATCTTTCTTAACAGATGCTGAATATTGCTAACATTTTCCATTTTTTTTTGTTTCGGATTTCCGGCATCGTCGGTATTTTGCTCTTGGGACCGATGGTGTATGTTTATTTAATGGTTGCTGAGATTGACCTTTTTTTTTAGGTATTCTGGCTCAGAAAACATATGGGGGTAATTTTGAGAGATTTGGTGACAGCTATATTGCAGCATCATATGTTAAATATCTGGAATCTGCCGGGGCTCGAGTTGTGCCCATAGGGTAAGTTTGGACCATCCCTGCACACTGCATGTTTTGGGCAGAGCTTAGTGACCATCCTGAAGGCAGGTTTGAAAATATGGATTACTCCATTGTTTTGGAGGACGCAGGATTCGGACCCCAGGACCTTCTTGCTTCGGCCCAATTAATTCCAGGGCAGGGAAACTTGTGGAAGGGCTTCCCTCCCAGTGGGTTGGGGAGATGTCATACAGTGAACTGCCCAGTTGCCTCTTGTTGCAAACTCTCCCACACTGCCACTGGCATGCCACCCTCATTCCACCCATTCCCCCCCCCCCACTCTTCCTGTGGCTTAGGTATCTCAGACTGTGGTGGGTGCATTGACTGTATCTGCCAGTGATCATGGTGGCGCTAATGGGCAATTGAGAACTGTCAACCAAAGACCGATGTGAAGCTCCCATAGTTCAGCAGTCAGCAAGTAGGCCTTGTATTGCCAACATGAAATTCCACCCTCAGTACCAGCCCTGAGTTTGTACAAGGGAAGCTACTGTAGGAAAGTCAGAATGGAAGTCCCCAAGTTTAACCATTTGAGTAAAGCACTGTGATTTGAATATCTGCAGAATATGTATGGAGTGCAGAAAATAACCAAGAAGGCTAATGGAACGCTGGCCTTCATATCTAAAGGGCTGAAGTATAAGGATCCAGAAGTTCTGCTGCAGTTGTATAAAACCCTAAATAGACTCCACTTGGAGTACTGCAAGCAGATCTGGGCACCACACGTTGGCCCTGGAGGTTAAGAATGATACCTGAGGTTAAATTGAGGGGAGATTAGACAAATTAGGCCTTTATTCTCTAGAATTTGGAAAGTTTGGGATCTGACCATAGTCTTCAGGATGTTAACAGGAAAAGACGGGAATAGTTTATCCTTATCTACCCTATTTGTTGAGGATTCTAGAACTAAGGGCATAGTCTGAGAATTAGGGCCAGACCATTTAGGAGCAAGAGAACACAGAATTGTACAGCACAAGATATTAGAAAGCACTTCCAGTGGAAGTTTGAAGCTGTCTTCCTCAAACAGTGGTAGATGCTAATTCAATTATTAAATTTAAATCTTGGGTGAGTTGGCATGGCCTATAGTTTTTTTGTTTTTTTTTAATCTCTCTCCTTTCTGGAAAGCAGATTAATCTGCTGAGACAGAATCAGTGGAGTTCTGGTACATTGCAATCCACTTATTTCATATCCAGTTTTATCACTTATATCCATCCAGGTAGATAGGGTAGTGAAGAACGCCTTTGCCATGTCTGTTTTCATCAATCAGAGCATCGAATACAGCTATAACATGACTCCCACCTCATATACAAGACTTTGGTAAGGTCACAAACAGAAACAGAAAGTTGCTGGAAAAGCTCAGCAGGTCTGGCAGCATCTGTGAAGAGAAAATCAGAGCTAACGTTTCAGGTCCAGTGACCCTTCCTCCAGAACTGCTATCCAGTTCTGAGGAAGGGTTACCGGACCTGAAACATTAACTGCCAGACCTGCTGAGCTTTTCCAGCAACTTCTGTTTTTTCAATTCTTTCAGTTCTTTCAATTTTTATTGGTAAGGTCACATTTGGAATAATGCATACAATTCTGGTTGCTGTGCTATAAGAAGGATGTTATTAAACTGGAAATGGTGCAAAAAAGATGTACAAGGATGTTACTGAGACTGGTTTGCGTTATGAGGGGAAGCTGGATAGGATGGAACTTTTTCCCCTGGGGCATGGGAAGTTGAGGGGTGACCTTAGAGGTTTATAAAATCATGAGGGGCATAGATATGGTGAATAGACCAAGGTCTTTTCCTCTGGTAGGGGAATACAAACCTAGAGGGCATAGGTTTAAGGTGAGAGGGGAAAGATTTAAAAGGGACCTGAGGGGCAACACTTTCACGCACTGGGTGAGGCATGTATGGAACGAGCTGCCAATGGAAGTGATAGACGCTGGTACAATTACAACATTTAAAAGACATTTGGACAGGTACATGAATTGGAAAGATTTTCAGAGATATGTGCCTAATGCAGGCAGATGGGACTAGTTCAGTTTAGGAAACTTGGTCAGCATAGATGAGTTGGGGCAAAGGGTCTGTTTCCATGCTGTATGACTCTCTGACTTGACCTCTAATGGTAAAGTTGCAATAGTCCTAGTCCTTGGAAAGAGACAACTGGTGATGGTTAACCTAAGGGTCACCATGCCTCGGGCATTAGTTTCATTGAAGTAGAATTAGCTACTCCTATTGTATCCTTGTCTTTACTGATTAAGTATAATTAATTTTAAAATGCCAAAATAAATGAAATTATTATTGGATAACCAATATTACAACTTTTAGCTTCTTTAGTATGTCATTGTCCAAGGCTGAAATTGCAAACTGAACTGTAATTGCATGACTCATAGTCAAATGTAGTAAAATTAATCCAAAGAAAATCCTGTTCTTCTCCAATAGTATTAACCTAACGGAAGATCAGTGCCAGAAACTCTTTTACTCCATCAATGGGTGAGTGTTTTTTTTTTGTTAAATCACAACTGACATGATTTCGTATTTGGGTGGTTTTTATTGTGTGTTATTGAGAGTTTAGCCTTTTCATATCAGGTTTGCAGTAAGATACAAGATGCTCTGCTTTTGAGCATGAAAAGCATCTTCATGAGTATAATATAAGGGATAATTTTTCTGTATTGCAGTCAACAAGCGCTGCATTATAAAACATGCTCTGCCAAGGTATTTTGCATTTAGAAAGTTTGAGTAGACAAATTGAGGGAGCAAGGTTGGAATTCAGTTTGCACAGATTTAACTGTGTAAAAATAAGCAGTTGTTTTGATATGTCTTTATTGTTCTTGATGAGGAAAAATTTCCTATTCCCATTTCTCCTTTTGCCAACTGTTTAGACAGTATAAAAATGATTAGCAACTTCTAAGCTGCAGCTTGCTTTTGTAAATACTAGAAATAGTGGATTTAATTTATTGTGGTAGATCATTTTACAAAATAATCTCCTGGGACTCAGGTACAGTGTCAAATGTTTATTTTGCCAGTGCATTGGGAGAGCTCTACCTCAAAGATTCTGAAGCAGGACTCTGCCCAGCCGACAAACCATCAAATAGTTAAACATTGTGAAGCATGAAGCAAAACACTATTTGAATTCCAACATGGTCTTTTTTAGGCTTACATTAACCAAAATACCTCTGCTGCAGATTGCTAGGAGGCAGGGTGTCTGGTACCCTGATCTTACCTATCATCCCTATCTCTCCTCTGGGGTCTGCTTGTGGTAGCTTTGTGAGACCAACTGAGTGTTCAGTTTAACTCAAACTTTTTTGAATACAATAAAATAGGAATAAATGAACTTCTTGCTGAACCATCTAAATTCCTGAATTCTTTCTAATGTCATCGCTTAACCCCACTTCTGGTCACCTTTCTAAAGGGATGATGTTATTAGACATGAGAAAGTGCAGAAAAGATTTACAAGGATGTTTCTGGGACTGGCAGATTTGAGATGTAGGGAAAGGCTGAATGGGCTGGGCTTTTTTATTTTCCCTGGAGCATCAGAGTTTGAGGGGTGACCTTATAGAGGTTTACAAAATCATGAGGGCCATGATGGATAGGATGACTAGCCAAAGTCTTTTTCCCCAGGGTAGGGGAGTGCAAAACTAGAGGGCATAGGCTTAAGGTGAGAGGGGAAAAATATAAAAATGACCTGAGGGGTAGCTTTTCTATGCAGAGGGTAGAGTGTGTATGGAACGAGCTGCTAGAGGAAGTGGTAGAGGCTGGGACAATTACAATATTTAAAAGGCATCTGGATGGGTACATGAATAGGAAGGGTTTAGAGGGATATGAGCCAAATGCTGGCAAATGGGTCTAGGTCAGATTGGGATGTCTGGTCAGCTCAGACGAGTTTGGCTGAAGGGTCTGTTTTCGTACTGTATTGTTACTTTTCCAGTGAATTGTTGGTGGGGCTAACCCATATGCAATATTTTTCCCTTACAAAGTTAAGCATTTTGAGTTCAGAGGAGCAGATTGTAATTCTGGTCTCTAGGCTCAAAGGAGCAAACTTTTTTGTGGCTTCGTAGGTGAAATCACCTTTTGTCTGCAGTGGCCATGAACAATGTAGTACCACTAATGGGAAAAAAAGTAGCTGATATTTTTGATGATGCTTTTACCAATGCATGTCTTACCTGGGCACCATTCATTGCTTGTTACTGTGAGAGGTTAATGCTCAGTTGCTTGTGGGTTACTGCTGTCAGCCTGGGTAATGGCATTACAATCGCTTGATGTGTTCCGATTTTATAGAAGTAGATTTTCTTTGCCTTTTTAAAAGAAGTTAATTTTTTTTTGTTAACAGTTAAAGATCAGTCTCAATTTTGTTTATTTCTATCTAGTAATGCAGGTAAATGAAAGGGCAGTATGCTCTACAGATTAGATTTAACAATGACACTAATACTATATTGAATTATTTACCCTGTTGATGGAGATTAGCACTGCGAGGTCAAGGTGCACTAATATGCTTGTGGCAATTTGTATTTCGCTCTTGTTTAACATCGCCCTCACATGCTGTTTCTGTTGAAGTCAGCAGGCAGTAATCAAACTGACAAAAGGAAATATTTCTTATGTGATAACTAAACGTTAAAAGCACCATTTATAGCATTGGTTGCAAAGATTAATCAGATATTATTCAGGTGTTAATTCAGTGTTTAATTCGATTCTACTATTTAAAAATGCTGACATTAAAAGAATTGCGTGACTGAAAATGTAACAGCTGTGGTTATCTGCTTACAAAGTAATATATTGGTAGTGTTTGAGGACTTTGAAAGAGATGTATGTTGAATTTGCTACAAGATTTGAATAACTCTGATGAGAGATTAAACTAAATTTATTCTCATTGTGGAATAAATATTTTAAAAGTAATATTCAGTTTGAGAAGTTGTTCTAGAGAAGTATCTTGTGCAAAATTAGAACTAATATCTTATTTGAGATAAACTTGCATCTTATTAAGGAAAACCCTGCCGCTTGGTAAACTTAAACTGAAAGCATTCAATATGTTCAGTTCTGTTTTTTGAAGGGAATGGGCAGATGTGAAGTTTAGGGGAGGGCACTGACTGATTTTCTTTTGCTTTGCTGTATTTTAGTACGCTTAACAATAATTAGTAAATGGGTTTTTGTTTCAGAAAAAGAAACGAGGATTACGTAACACATACAAGTAGGATTCAGTCACCATTTTTTTTTTGAGCAGCCACCTTGGCTAAGAATCATCTCTTTCAGTTCACTTGTGCGCCACCAAACATCATTTGAGAATATCCAATAGCAGAGTCACTGCTAGAGTAAATACATTTGGAGCCAAAATTGGATAACTTAACAAGTGAGACAAGGGTTAAGAGGACCTAAACATTGACAGAAGCAAAGCATGTAAAATGATACAGAAATGGCTAAAATACAGTAATGTTTATATGATTTATATTTATATTGTCTTCGTATATTTTGCACAATGATGTTTGAAGTTCTGCATGCCAGAGCAGTGTGCAGATCCAGATATGCTTCTACATTTTGACTTTGTTAAATCCCAAGCTGATTCTATCCACTAGAGGATGTATTAATCAGGAAATGTATGAAATCTGGAATTGTAGGACTTTTACCTATTAATCCAGTGCATTATACCAATTATTATCTTTGGAGTGAATCGTATTGATTGAAATCTCAGAAATATGATCAGAAGTCAGTCAACACCAGTTTATAATCTGGAGCAAAAACAAAGTTGCTGGAAAAGCTCAGCAGGTCTGGCAGCATCTGTGGAGGAGAAAACAGAGTTAACATTTCGGGACCGGTGACCCTTCCTCAGAACAGTTTATAATCCACTAGGTTTATTTGAAATCACAAGCTTTTGGAGTGCTGTCGCTTCATCAGGTGAAGTCAGAAAGCTTATGATTTCACACAAACCTGTTGGACTATAACCTGATGTTGTGTGATTTCTGACTTCGTCCACCCCAGTCCAACACCGGCACCTCCACGTTACAGATATGTAATGGCAGGAACCAATATTTTCATAAAAATTTCATTGTTTTGCATGGTCAGCTTTTCTTTTTAACTCTAGCTCTGTTTAATTATTTGTTTTGCATGGCTTTGTCTGTGGGATATTTAAATAAAACAAGGATTGCATTATGCCCTCCAGGCTGTAGTGCAGCGAGACATGCACACAGCTTAATGGAAGCATTGTTGAAACTTCAAGAGTAAACCAGCATATCTCATTGATTTAGTTCTTTGGCTGAAGATGGTTGTAGATGTTTCAGCCTTGGCTTTTGGCACCATGTTTAATTGGAATAGACGCATTTACAATGTCTCCTGTCAATAGCTGCTGAATTGTCCACCTGAGTTCCCTTTTGGAATTGGCAGGAGTTAGTTGATCAATATAGAATCACCTGCTGTATCTATAGCATGCTTTTGTTATTTAGCTTTTCATGTAAAAGCCTCTATAAATATATGTTGGAGCAGAATGACTACATTAATCACTTGACACCGAGAGTCCACTTCCAGCATCAAAGAGTTTATTGAAGTTACACCAGTGGGAAGAAACCTCCAGGGGTCCAGAGCTGCTTCACTGATCAAAGGAAGGACATAAAAGTTTATACATTTGTTTTCAGACCGCCTTTAACTCCTACAAACCAATTGTATTATTAATTGGTTATATGCACATCCAATCAGGTTAATCATGTGGCTGCATGGTCAATGATAGACAACTTTACGGTGAACCCTAAGTTTTCCCACAATGTATATCAGACACCCATATCTTTCACCATGCATCTTATTCAACCACGTTCCAATCCTGCTGACTTGCGTTATTCAATCCTCCCTACTGTCCAGGGCTGTCTGTCCATAGGAATTTAGTTAAACCCCTTAATGTTACATTGTTGGTCACATTTAGAATTTCAGTATACTTATATAGGTGGATATAATATGTAGTGACAATTATCTAAAATGACTTAATTATTGTAGGATAACAAGGTGTAGAGCTGGATGAACACAGCAGGCCAAGCAGCATCAGAGGAGCAGGAAGGCTGATGTTTCGGGTCTGGACCCTTCTTCAGAAATGGGGGAGGGGAAGGGGATTCTGAAATAAATAGGGAGAGAGGGGGAGGTGGATAGAAGCTGGACAAGGGAGAAGATAGGCGGAGAGGAGACAGACAGGTCAAAGAGGCGGGGTGGAGGCAGTAACTGTGAGTGTAGGTGGGGAGTTAGGGAGGGGATAGGTCAGTCCAGGGAGGACGGACAGGTCAAGGAGGCGGGATGAGGCTGGTAGGTAGGAGATGGGGTGGGGCTTGGGGTGGGAGGAAGGACAGGTTAGGGAGGCAGGGACAAGCTGGGCTGGTTTTGGGATGCGGTCGGGGGAGGGGAGATTTTGAAGCTTGTGAAGCCTGCCCTTACACCTCCCCCCTCACCCCCATCCCAGGCCCCAAGAAGACCTTCCACATCAAGCAGATGTTCACCTGCACATCTGCTAACGTGGTATACTGTATCCACTGTTCCCGATGTGGCCTCCTCTACATCGGGAAAACCAAGCGGAGGCTTGGGGACCGCTTTGTGGAACACCTATGCTCGGTTTGCGACAAACGACTGCAACTCCCAGTCACGAACTACTTCAACTCCACCTCCCGCTCCTTGGACAACATGTCCATCCTGGGCTTCCTCCAGTGCCACAACGATGCCACCCGAAGGTTGCAGGAATAGCACCTCATATTTCGCTTGGGAACCCTGCAGCCCAATGATATCAATGTGGACTTCACAAGCTTCCAAATCTCCCCTCCCCCGACCGTATCCCAAAACCAGCCCAGCTCGTCCCCGCCTCCCTAACCTGTTCTTCCTCCCACCTCCAGCCCCACCCCCATCTCCTACCTACCAGCCTCATCCCACCTCCTTGACCTGTCTGTCTTTCCTGGACTGACGTACCGCCACCCTAACTCCCCACCTACACTCACCCTTACTGGCTCCAACCCCGCCTCTTTGACCTGTCTGTCTCCTCTCCACCTATCTGCTCCTTTAGACATCTTCCATCTGCCTCCCCCCTCTCTTTCTTTATTTCAGAACCCCCTTCCCCTCCCCCATTTCTGAAGAAGGGTCTAGACCCAAAACGTCAGCTTTCCTGCTCCTCTGCTGCTGCTTGGCCAGCTGTGTTCATCCAGCTCTACACCTTGTTATCTCAGATTCTCCAGCATCGGCAGTTCCCACTATCTCTTAATTATTGTGGGATCAGACTTCTCTTCCATCTGTAATAAATCACAAATTTTGAATTTATTGGTCAAAGGAGGGTGGTATCATGGGTGTTTCTTATCAAGACAGTCTAAAGCTGAACATCTATAGAAATCCTATTAAATCCCTTGATGTTGAATATAATTTAAACTGGTATTATATACATGTATATGCGATTAATTAAGATCCTTTAGGTGATTGTAATGTGAGTCAAGCTTTTTCCCTTCCAGCCCATGTTGAATAGCAAACTTTAAATTAACTTGCAAGCTAGGCTTCTATCAGTGTTTCCCTTATCAGAGGTGCCTTACTGTGAGCAATGCTTTTTTTTAAACTTCTTCATAAGACCCTATTTTGTGATTTCTGCGAGGCATTTTATTATCTTATCTGATTGCTATGAGTACAAAGGCCACTATTGTAACTATGTAAATGACTGTTTCAGTTAACAATCTTCTTCGGCCTTTTTTATGTCAACGATGAAAAAACCATGGCAGCCATTTTATGTAACTAAGAACCATGGGTAGTCATAACACTTACACAGGGAAGAGAAGAGTAAGAGTGACAGTATTGAGGGAAATGTTTATGTCTGAAGGAATGTAATGTTGCTGTTATAAACTTTCAGAATAACTAGTCTCTATCTAAATTTATTCCTCAGTTTTTTTTGTCCTAACAATATGTAAAGAGAAGATTCAGTCAGGGCAAACTAGATCCCTTATAGTCACAAACTATAATGGCGAACAAAGAAATGATAGATGAATTGAACATGGAGTTGGAATAAATGCGCCTTTTGTCGAGTGGCAAGTAATGATTGGTGGGGTACTGAATCCCTGCTGTAGAGGTGCTGATTTTGGACTGGGATGGACAAAGTCAGAAGTCGGGTGATGAAGGAGCAGAGTTTCAAAAACTTGTGATTTCAGATAAACCTGTTGAACTGTAACCTGGTGTCGTGTGACTTCTGACTGACTCCCACCTATTCATGGTATTTATCAATGATCTGGATGAGGAAACCAAATGCAACATTTCCAAGTTTGCTGATGACACCAAACTATGGGATTGTGATCAGTGAGGAGGATACAAGGGGGGTGTCAAAGTGATTTAAACAAGTCAAACACATGGCAGATGCAGTATAATGTGGCTAAATGTAAACATATACACTTCAGTGTGAAAATCAGAAGTGTGTTATTTAAATGGTGAGGTTTTTGGAGATGGGGATGGACAAGGAGATTTGGGCATCCATGTACACTAGCAATGAAAGATAATAGTAGATAAGCAATCTTTACCCCTCATCCTATTTCATTTTACCCACTAACCTCTTATGAAGAAACTTTAGCAAAAAACCTTCCGAAAATAGAAAAACACCACAGCCACTGGTTCTCCTTTATCGATTCTACTAATTGCATTCGCAAAGAAAACTCCAGTAGATTTTTCAGCATGATTTGTGTTTCAGAAACCCATTCTGACTTTGTCCAGTTCTGTTAATACAATAGACTGTAGCATTTTCCCATCCCTTATTAATGTAGCAGACAATTGGGAAGGCAAATGGTACATTCGCCTTCATTGCTAGAAGATTTAAGGTCAGATGTAAGGATGTCTTACTGAAGTTATGCAGGGCTTTGTAAAACCACAGCTTGAGTATTGTGTGCATTTTGTCTCTAATTATTTGGGGGACAGTTAGCTCAGTTGGCTGGATGGCTGGTTTACAATGCTGGGTCCTGTACCAGCTAACGTTATCATAAAGGACCTGCCTTTTCGATCTTGACCCTCAACTGGGGTGTGATGCCTTTCAGCTTAAACTCTCTCACAAGAGATCAACCCTATGGTCTTCTGGAACTATAGCAACTTTATCTTTTACTTTCCCTGAAAAAGGATTTGCTTGCCATAGAGGGAGTGCAGTGGAAGTTCACTAAGCTGATACCGGGATGGTAGGACGAGAGATTAGTTCAACTGAGCCTGTGTTCATTACGGTTTAGGAGGAGGAAAAGGGACCTGATTTTAAACATATAAATCTCTAGAGCTGGACAAACTAGATGCAGGGAGGATATTTCCCCCAGTTGAGGAGTGTAGAAGCAGGGGACACAGTCTCCAGGTACTGGTAAGCCATTTACAACTGAGATGGGGAAAGATTTCTTCACTGGGAGGACAGTGAACCTGTAGAAGTCTCAACCACGCAAGGCTGTGGAGGCCAAGTCACTGGATGTATTCAAGGAAGAGATTGATGCTTTGAAAATCTAAAAATGTATTAATGGACATGGTGAGAAAGCAGGAATATGGCATTGAGATCAAGGATCAACCACGATCATACTGAATGGAAGAGCAAGCCCCAAGTATTGAATGGCCTATTCCCACTCCTGTTTTGATGCTTTTATGTAATCCTGTGTTACAGCTTGATCCAACTGCAGTTCACGTCAGAACATCAAATGCTTATGTGCTGGCTAACATTCCTCATTGATCACCATTGGATATCTGGGTTATGAAGTATTGAGCAAAATAATAGCCACACGGTTACAGATTGTGATTATGTGCTATCTTACTCCTGTGTGTCATATAGATGCTTAGTTTTGTGCAGTTAGGTCTTTTTTAATCTATTCCACTGGGTATTGCAGAGTGCAATATAACATGACAGACAATGGTACAAGTACCTAGACAAACACTGGCCTCCATGAGAACTGTGGGCGCTCATTCCTACCAATGTTTTGATGCACAGATGTGGCTGTTACTGTGACAGGTAGATTTAATCACGGAAGCTGATATCACTAGCCAGGCCAGCATTTATTCCCATTCCTACTTGCCCTTGAGAAGCTTAGATCTAATCCGTCGGTTATGGGATTGTTTAGCTCTGTCTATCACTTGTGCTGTTTGGTGTGCAAGTAGTCTTGTTAGGTAGCTTCACCCAGGTTGCCATCTCATTTTCAGCTTTGCCTGGTGCTGCTCCTGGCATGCCCTCCTACACTCTCCCTTGAACCAAAGTTGATCCCCTGGCTTGATGGTAATGGTTGAGTGGGGGATATGTTGGGCCATGAGGTTACAGATTGTGCTGGAGTACAATCCTGCTGCTGTTGATGGCCCATAGTGCCTCATGGATGCCCAGCCTTGAGTTGCTAGTCTGCAAAGTCTGTCCCATTTAACACGGTGATAGTGCCATGCAACACGATGGAAGTTATTCTCACTGTGAAGGTGGGACTTGGTCTCCACAAGGACTGTGCGGTGGTCGCACTTACCGATTTCATCATTATTGGTGAAGACAACAGCAAATAGGTTATTACTTCATGGTGATTTGAGTTATTTAAACATTAATTTTCCTCCGTGCTGTTCAACTATTACAATAAAATAATGTTTAAATTGAACAGGTTATCTCTGATTATTTTCAGACTACTTCTCCCAGGTGGTGGAGCAAATCTTCTTCAGTCTCCATATGCCAGGATTGCTGCCTTCTTTTATAAACTCGCACTTCAGGTACCTGTACATGTGTGCTGTATAAAAACATCAATCAATTCAACAAGGAAGGCCTTTATTATCTTTATCACAGCCTTGAAAAAAATGTTACGTATGCGGAATTTCATAAGATATTTCATCAGATAAGCATCTGCAAAGGAAGACATTGGTGTAATTACAATATTTACCTTTTAAAGGAAAGTGGCATGTTGTGGTGTTGATTTAAGGACAGAAATCACCGTTGTTGGTGGATGGATTATTTTTCTGGATTGAGAGATCATGTAAACTTTTAAGTCCACTGATGTTGACAGATCTTACATTCTGCAGCTAAAGGTGGAATGGCATCAGTATTTACAGAGACAAAAAGCATATTTAAGCATGACTGAAAACAAAAAAATGTTGGAGATCACAGCGGGTCAGGTAGCACAGATTCCAGCATCTGCAGTAATTTTCTCCTTCATTTAAGCATGAGATAGACTGTAACTTCAGAACGGCAATAGATTATGGAGATTAGTATCAGATGAGATTTAGTACTGAGCAGTACAGTGAGTATTGTGGACAAGTGGAGAGAAGTAGAGATAGTAAGAACTGCAGATGCTGGAGTCAGAGATACCACAGTGTGGATCTGGAGGAAGAGCTGAAGAAGGCTCCCGACCCAAAATGTCAACTTTCCTGCTCCTCTGATGCTGCCTGGCCTGCTGTGCTCCTCCAGCTCCACAAGGTGTTACCTCTGGAGAGATAGTAGGATGCTCCACCTATTTCCACCGCTTGACACCCACACAATGTGTTTTAAAGACAACAAGGTGCAGGGCTGGATGAACACAGCAGGCCGAGCAGCATCATAGGAGCAGAAAGGCTGACGTTTCGGGCCTAGACCCTTCATCAGAAATGGGGGAGGGGAAGGGGGTTCTGAAATAAATAGGGAGAGAGTGGGAGGCGGATAGAAGATGGATAGAGGGGAGGATAGGTGGAGAGGAAACAAACAGGTCGAAGAGGCGGGGATGGGGCCAGTAAAGGTGAGTGTAGGTGGGGAGTTAGGGAGGGGCTAGGTCAGTCCAGGGAGGACAGACAGGTCAAGGGGGCGGGATGAGGTTAGTCGGTAGGAGATGGAGGTGCAGCTTGAGGTGGGAGGAGGGGATAGGTGGGAGGAAGAACAGGTTAGAGAGGCGGGGACGAGCTGGACTGGTTTTGGGATTCGGTAGGGGGAGGGGAGATTTTGAAGCTTGTGAAATCCACATTGATGCCATTGGGCTGCAGGGTTCCCAAGCGGAATATGAGTTGCTGTTCCTGCAACCTTCGGGTGGCATCGTTGTGGCACTGCAGGAGGCCCAGGATGGACATGTCGTCTGAGGAATGGGAGGGGGAGTTGAAATGGTCCAGCTCCACCACACCCGGCACTTTTCCCTGCAACCGCAGGAAGTGCTACACCTGCCCCCATACCTCCTCCCTCACCCCCATCCCAGGCCCCAAGAAGACTTTCCACATCAAGCAGATGTTCACCTGCACATCTGCCAATGTGGTATACTGCATCCGCTGTACCCGGTGTGGCTGCCTCTACATCGGGGAAACCAAGCAGAGACTCGGGGACCGCTTTGCAGAACACCTACGCTCGGTTCGCAATAAACAACTGCACCTCCCAGTCGCGAACCATTTCAACTCCCCCTCCCATTCCTCAGACGACATGTCCATCCTGGGCCTCTTGCAGTGCCACAACGATGCCACCCGAAGGTTGCAGGAACAGCAACTCATATTCCGCTTGGGAACCCTGCAGCCCAATGGTATCAATGTGGATTTCACAAGCTTCAAAATCTCCCCTCCCCCTACCGAATCCCAAAACCAGTCCAGCTCGTCCCCGCCTCCCTAACCTGTTCTTCCTCCCACCTCAAGCCGCACCCCCATCTCCTACCGACTAACCTCATCCTGCCCCCTTGACCTGTCCGTCCTCCCTGGACTGACCTATCCCCTCCCTAACTCCCCACCTACACTCACCTTTACTGGCCCCATCCCCGCCTCTTCGACCTGTTTTGTTTCCTCTCCACCTATCCTCTCCTCTATCCATCTTCTATCCGCCTCCCCCTCTCTCCCTATTTATTTCAGAACCCCCTTCCCCTCCCCCATTTCTGATGAAGGGTCTAGGCCCAAAACGTCAGCCTTTCTGCTCCTCTGATGCTGCTTGGCCTGCTGTGTTCATCCAGCCCTGCACCTTGTTGTCTCGGATTCTCCAGCATCTGCAGTTCCTACTATCTCTGATTCAATATGTTTTAAAGAAGTGTTTTACCCCCTTGAATGCTGTGACTCTCAAGAACAGGAACAAGACAGGCTTTCTTATAGGTTTAAACCAAAAGAGAAATAAACATTTATTTTTTCCAACACCTAAAATGTATTTGTGGCAGCATCCATTCACTCATTCATACAAACCATGCACGAGAAAAGATGACGACAAATGATGTAGCGCGCATTTACATTTCTTAAGCATTCAAAAAGTCATTGTTAGTTCATGGGACGAAAGCCAGAAATGTTGCAGGCCTCGGGATTCTGTTTGGTTTCACTAAAGATGACAATGGAGGTTGGAAATTTCTGGTGATTAACTCACAGTAACTTATTCCATGCAAGTGCAGTTTTTTTTTTAAATCAAAGTTGTTGTCAGATTTTTGGTGTGAAGTTATAGTTGCAGTTAAAAAGAACAGTGCCACTTCTCTGCCAGATTCTTTTATTTTCTGGGCAAAATATCTTTTCTCTGCAACCTTTGTGTCCCAGACTGATAGCCTGTTGCTGTCCCTGTGTATAATTATGTTTCTTTTACAAATTAGTTTTTGGCTTATGACCACTGTATCAATGTTTGCATTGTCTGAACAATTGGTTTAATGAGCTATGCAGCTGTTACACAATTGCAAATGCTTGAAGTTCCCATCAAAATTTTACTTATGAATAACTTTTGAATGTCTGAGTGTCTTTAATTGAAATGAAGACTAGTGATCATCAGTTTACATTTTAAGTGATCTCCCCGAGACATTCCCAGACATGAGTCAATCCCGGTGTCTGTACAGAAAACGCAAAATAAAGTCACCTGAACCCTTGCACTCATCTTTTTGAGGAAGTTGGTTTCCAGTGGAGAGTGTTGCCAGCAGCAAGGGTTCAATTCCCACAGCAGCATGAAGGACTCTCTTTATCAACCTCTCCCCTCACCTGATGCAATGTTAAACTTCAGCTTAAAACCCACCACCACCACCAGTCTGCTCTATCTAATGAGAGAGCAGCCCTGTGATCTGGTTAAACTATGCGACTTTATCTTATTGAGGTAAATTGTTCATTTTTTTTTTCCTCCTTTTAAATAATCTGTCATATCTACATGGCCATAATATGGTTCATGTGAACCAGAAATGTGTAAGACTGTGTATTTATAACAATGTTTCTGGCAAGAGGACAGCATGGTGTTTTTAAAATGAGAAAGTCTGGGATCTCAGCTTTTTAAAATATTGAGTAGAAAAGCAACAAAATTAATGTTAAAACTGAACAAATAATTTATTAAGCCACTGTTAAAGTTCTGTAGTAAAACAAAAATCTGTGAATGCTGGAGATCTGAAACATAAAATCAGAAATTACTAGCGAAACTCAGCCGGTCTGGCAGCATCTGTGGAGAGAAAGCACAATTAACAGTCGCTGCATTTGAAACATTAACTCTGCTTTCTCTGCACGGATGCTGCTAGACTTGGTGAGTTTCTCTAGCAATGTCTGTTTTTTGTTGTTTAAAATTTTGTGTCAAGTTCTGCAATTATAATGATAACAGTGAAGCACTGTAATTATTTGACCTGTCATATGTGTTTGCTCCCTGCAAGAGCAGTTCAGATTATCCTACTCCACTACTGATTCCATGTAGCCCAGCAAATCCTGTTCCTCTTCAGACAATTATCCAATTCTCTTCTTGAAAGCAACAGTTGAAATCAGCACATCCCTAGGCTGTGCATTCCAACACCTCACATCAAAGGTCACCTTGAATTGGTGACCTCTGATTCGTGACCCTTCTAACAAACTGACATTTCTCCCTATCTACTCCGTTCAGACTCCTTCGGGTTTGGAAGCAGACCTCCTTTCAAACCTCTGTTTCCACGGGAGAACTGCTCCAGTATCTTTTGATCTAACCTCGGAACTGAAGCCCTGATTCCTGGATTCACCCTTGGATATCTTTCCTTTATCCTCTCTAATGCTTACACATCCTCTCAAAGAGTAGTACGCAATACTCAAGTAGTGGCTTGGCTTCATCTTTATAAATTTTCACTGTATTTTGCCTTTGCATTTATCTGAAGAAGGGTCTAGGCCCGAAACGTCAGCCTTTCTGCTCCTATGATGCTGCTTGGCCTGCTGTGTTCATCCAGCCCTGCACCTTGTCTCAGATTCGCCAGCATCTGCAGTTCCTACTATCTCCAATGCCACACCTCCCCCTCTTTTACCACCTTCCCTGATCTTACTGAAACATCTAAACCCAGGAACCTGCAACAACCATTCCTGTCCCTGCTCTAGCCATGTCTCCGAAATGGCCACAACATTGAAGTCCCAGGTACCAACCCATGCTGCAAGCTCATCCACCTTATTCCGGACGCTCCTGGCATTGAGTAGACACACTTCAAACCACCTTCCTGCCTGCTGGTGCACTCCTGCGACCTTGAAACCTTATTTATGACCTCACTACTCTCAACCTCCTGTACACTGGAGCTACAATTCAGGTTCCCATCCCCCTGCTGAATTAGTTTAAACCCTCCCGAAGAGCATTAGCAAATTTCCCCCCCAGCATATTGGTACCCCTCTGGTTCAGGTGTAGACCATCCCATTTTGTAGAGGTCCCACCTACCCCAGAATGAGCCCCAATTATCCAGGTATCTGAATCCCTCCCTCCTGCACCATCCCTGTAGCCACGTGTTCAACTGCTCTCTCTCCCTATTGCTTGCCTCGCTAGCACGTGGCACAGGTAACAGACCAGAGATAACAACTCTGTTTGTTCTAGCTCTAAGCTTCCACCCTAGCTCCTTGAATTTCTGCCTTAAATCCCCATCTCTTTTCCTACCAATGTCATTGGTGCCTATATGGACCACGACTTGGGGCTGCTCCCCCTCCCCCTTAAGGATCTCAAACACGATCCGAGACATCACGGACCCTGGCACCTGGGAGGCAACACCCCAACCGCGAGTCTCTCTCGTTCCCACAGAATCTCCTATCTGTCCCCTTAACTATGGAGTCCCCAATGACTAATGCTCTCCTTCTCTCCCCCCTTCCCCCTTCCCTTCTGAGCAACAGGGACAGACTCTGTGCCAGAGACCTGTACCCCATGGCTTACCCCTGGTAACTCGTCCCCCCCCCAACAATATCCAAAACGGTATATTTGTTTTTGAGGAGAACGGCCACAGGGGATCCCTGTACTGTCTTCCTGTTCCCTTTCCGTCCCCTGACTGTGTAACCCATCTACTTTTTTCCTGTACCTGAGGTGTGACTACCTCCCTGTAACTCCTCTCAATTACCCCCTCAGCCGAATGATCCAAAGTTCATTCAGCTCCAGTTCCAGTTCCCTAACGCGGTTTCCGAGGGGCTGGAGTTGGGTGCACTTCCCGCAGATGAAGTCAGTGGGGACACTAGTGGTGACCCTTACCTCCCACGTTCTACAGGAGGAGCATGCAACTGCCCTAACATCCATTCCCACTGTTCTGAATCCCCAAACAGACTATTTAAAAAAAAAAACTAGTAGCCTTACCAAATCAGCACTCAGAACCTTTTTTTTGGTTAGAGGAGGATGGGTGGGAGACACTACCTAGGTAGTGTTTCGGGTAAAGCAACCGCCCAAATATATTACCTCACTTACTCACTCCAAAAATGGAGTCACGCAAGGTAAGACTTTTATAATTGAAAAGTTACCTTGCCAGGCTGCCCTCGCGCTTCCTACTGGACTCCTGCCGCTGAAACAACTGAAAGCTTTATTCATTGTTTTTTTAACCTGCAGTGCCATCTTCACTACAGCCCCAACAACTGCACACTATTCCCACTATTTACACCATTCACAGCTTCCAATTCGTAAAGTCACCACAAGCCGCAGCATTCACTTGGAAGAATTGTAAGCTGTGAGCAGGGGGCAGTGACAATGTGACCCATTCGCTGATCAGGGTTGTGATGGAGCGAATGACGGGGTTGTTGAAGATGCTGGCCTGCCGCATGGACAGCTCTGGACGGAGAGTCCACAGTTTACCCCATCATCCTGGTATGCTGTGCTGTGCACACTACAGCAGGCAGTGAGATAATGTGCTGGATAGAGAGGAACCAGGGGAACTGCAGCAGGCATCCGAGGGAAAGGGGGAAGCTCCCCTTTTGTGAGAGAACAGGTCAGACACGGGTTGGAGTGACGATATTCGACAACCTGTCCTGGACTTCCCACGTAAATGAGACATTCAAGAAGGCACAACAACGCCTCTTCTTCCTCAGGTGGCTCAGGAAATTTGGCATTTCCATAAGGTCCCTCACCAACTTCTACAGATGCACCATTGAAAGCATACTGTCCATGTGCATAACGGCCTGGTATGGTAACTGCTTTACCCAGGACCGTAAGAAACTACAGAAGGTGGTGTGCACAGCCCAGACCATCACGGGAGCCAAACTTCCATCCATGGACTCTGTTTACATGGCTCGCTGCTGCAGAAAGGCAGCCAACAACATCAAAGACCCATCGCACCCCGTTAATGATCTCCTACAACCTCTTCCATCAGGCAGAAGATACAGAAGCCTGAACACGTGTACAAGCAGGTCCGGGAACAGCTGCTTCCCGACTGCTATCAGACTGTTGAATGGGCTTTAGCCTCAAATAATGTAACCTGTATGCCTCTAAGTCTTTTTGATCTGTACATCCTTTGCTTGCTGAGATCTGCCTGTACCGCTTGTAAACAAAGCTTTTCACTTTATTTCGTTATACGTGACAATAAATCTAAATCAGAATCAAAATCAAAAGCTGAGTGATGACTGGTTCCAGTCAGTGAGAGCTGGGTGCAGTAGACAATTTTGGATCATGCCAGCATTTAGTTTGCGTTGTGGACTTGGGGAATGCAGCCTCAACTTGTTTTATCTGTTTCCTTTCGTTTTTGCAACCTTGCTGTTGCTGGCTGAAAATAAATGCTCCTCTTTGTAATGATCTGGCCTGTATGTGATGCTCCCTGAATGGACAGTGACAAGCTACATGTCTACAGTGGGCACTGGGGATGAGTTTTCAGTGACTTAGAGAGGGTATTTGGGTGAGATCTAGTTACGGACAGCTGAAGTGTGTGGCCTGGTAGTTAAACAGTAACCTGGGTGAGAGAATGAGGTTGTACATGTAAGGGAGTATTAGCCAGGCCAAATATGGGCCATTTGATTTTGTAGCTATTGTGCCCTCAGTGCTGGTGAGGCTGGTGCAGGTTTGCCAGTATTTGTCTGGGTGCACAGGGGCCTTTGACAGATGGTTCAAGGGCTGGATAACTGTGGAATGGCAAGTTGTTCCAGGACCGCTAGGTGATGGAATTGGGCCAGAATCGGGTGAGTGGGGTGCTAAAAGTAGGTCATTAATGAAGTAAGTTTGGTAGGGAAACAGCAATTATCCAATAATACCATTATCCACCCCTGTTCTGATGCTGTCACACAACCAGCCCAGTTCATTCACTAGGTCACCAGGCAACTCTCCATCAAGCACGTCAAACCTACCCCCACAACTAACCAAGCTGTCGACACTGCTGAACCAATGACAGAAACTGATGGAGAAACTCTGGCAGCATCTGTGGAGAGAGAAACAGAGTTAACATGTTGGATCCAATGACCTGTCTTCAGAACTGCTAGTAAGGAGGGAAAAGGTGGTACATACACGGGCTGGGGGATGGGAGGGAAGGAGAAGGGGGAGAGTTGAAGGCAGAGCCCAGACTGAAAGGAAGACCGTTTGGGAGAGAAAGGGGTGGATAATGGTATGGCAGGGAGAAAGAGAAGCCGGGAATGGGGACCATGAGTAGGTGAGAATGGGTTGGCTGTGCTGAGAGCAGCCCATGTAATGACAGAACCCAGGCTGAGGGGATGGGGAAAGGACATGGAACGAGCTGTTCAGATTTGAAAATTATTGAACTCAATATTGTGTCCTGAAGGCTGCAGGGCCCCCAAGCAGAAACTGTGATTCTTCTACTTTAAAAAATAAAATATTCTCGGAGCGGTTCTCCTACCCACACTTTTACTTCCCCAATCTCAGCTTCTCCATTTCTCAAACACCCACAAGTTTGAGATTGGATTTAGCCTGGCTGTTATTTTTCAGCACAGCCACAATATATATCAGTTGGTGCTGACACCAGGAGCTGAGTCTTGTGCTTTTTTAACTAAGTATCAGTTCCGCCAAGTTCTACAGAGCATTTCTGTCCATAAGGTCTAGTTGGTGTTTCCCTACCAAACTCACCTCATTAATGACCTACTTATAGCACCCCACTCACCCGATTCTGACAGAAAATGGTCCTAAAGGGCTGGATGCAGTAGAGACCACGCCAAGCTTTGGAAGCAAGTCATCGGAATTTTGAAGTCAACTTGGCAGATGATTGGAGCCGTTGAAACTGTGCTGTCAGTCCATCGGGTCTCTTCAATGCTAAAATGCTCCAGCCCAGCTGACATCCTGGTGAATCTCCTTTGCACCCTCTCTCATGCAGTCACATCCTTTGTATAGCTTGGCGATCAGAACTCCAGTCCTCCAATTGTGACTTAACTAACATCCTATAATTCCATCATATTTCCCCAGCTCTTGTGTTCTATGCCTCAACCAGTAAAAGTAAGTATCCCATATGCCTGCTTAATAACTTATCCACCTGTCCTTGTAGCCTTCAAGGACCTATGTACATATTCTTCAAGGTCCCTCTGATCCTCTGTACTTTCTAGGGTCCTACCACTTATTGTGTACTCCCTTGCCTTGTTAGTCATCCCAAAATGCATCACTGCATGCTTTTAAAGCAGTAAACTCCATTTGTCATTGTTCTACTATCTGACCAGCCCATCTATACCTTCCTACAATTTTCCTTTTCAGCCTCAATGCCATTGAAGAAAAAGCCCATTTCTTCAGTGACGTATCCCCATCAAAAATGCACTGTATATTAACAATGAGTGTTGTTTTATGTTCAATATGCAGCAGTTGAACAAAAGTTAAAAATGGTAGAAGGACTGGGACAGAAGGGAACTGCCTAAAGGGACATAGTTTGGAATGACAGCATTATTTTGTTTGTTAACTGTAATGGAATTGTACAGCTACATTAGAATTACTGCAGTCAGTTTAACCTCCCATATTTCAGCTGTTAAATACAAGGCTTTGTTTTTGTCAAAAATTGCAATTAAGTACAAATTGTCTGACTTTAATAGGCCAACGATCATGGGACTTACTTCCCAGTGTGGGGAACCTGCCTTGGATTTGAGGAGCTGACTGTCCTTACAAGTGAAAAAAATCTTCTTACTACTACAAACACATCAAATGTTCCTCTTCCTTTGAATTTCACCAAAGGTAAATTTGTCTAATTTTGTCTAATTTTGACTTTGGTAATGGAAGTTGGTAGGGAATTGGTAGAATTAATAGCTTGAATTACCAGCAAAGCTAACCATCATTTTCCTCATTCTCTCTATCTTTCTCTGTCTTTCTCATTACATCCTTCATTCCCTCTCCATCTCCATTCCCTGTTCCCTCGTTCTTCCCCACCTTCCTTCCCCTTCTCCCCTTTCACCTCTCTCACTCTTCCTTTCTTCCTGACCCTTTGCCTCTCTCCCTCTTACTCTTTCCCCCATTCCAACCTTCTCCTCTCCCGTGACAACCGCCTTCCCTTCCTTGCTCAGCCCTCCTTTTCCTCTTCTCCCTTTATTTCTTTTTTCTGTCTCCTGGCTTCCTTTCCACATTCCACCTCTTTCCTGCTGGTCACTCTCTCTCCTCCTTTTCCCACGTTTCCCCTTCCCCATTACTGTACCGTCCTTACCCTCTCTCACTCTTCTCTTTCTTGCTGTTCCCACCTCTCCCTCACTCTCTCGTCCACCCTCTTTCTTCTCCCCCTATTTCCCCTGATTCCATCATCCTCTTCTCCTTTTGTCTTGTTTTTTTTCTCTCTTTCTCCCTCTCTTTCTTTCTCTCTTTCTCGTTTTCTCTCTCTGTCTCTCTCTCTCGCTCTCTCTCTCGCTCCCGTATGCTCGTTCTCGCATGCCCTCTCTCGCTCACTCCCTTGTGTACACCCTCACTCTCTCCTCCCCTTGCATGCTCCCTTCACTCTTCCTTACCCTTTTCCTGGATCTGTAGAACCAAACTGTTGATAAACAACCAATAGTATAGGTTCCCCCAATCCTCTCAAAGCTAGTGTGTTTTCACGACTAAAGCTAATAAATCGCATCTCTCATCTCCTTTAAAGCTTTGCTTAACCGTTTCTCCAAGTCATTTGCTTTCCAATATAAAGCGAGCAACCTGTATTAATCTGTATCAAGAATCACATGGTGGGTCCCCATTCAATCCAGCAAAAGTCTAAGTAGTTACAAGTCTTCAATTTTGACTTGGAATTATGTTGCTATTCCTTTACTTTACTTTACAAAAAGCTAGAACTCCCTTCCTGACAGCACTAGGTGTGTGCTGGCACCTTAAAGACTGCAGCAGTTCAAGAAGGCAGCTCACCACCACCTTCTAATGGGAAGTTAGGGATGGTGAATAAATGCAGGCCCAGCTGGTAACATCCACATCCCATGAATAAACAGTTTTCTTTGTGAAATGTGCAAATGTACAACAAAACTCAGAGCAACTGATTAGATAGAGGAAACTGAGTTGGCGCGTATTGATTATAGGAGTTGTGAGGTCATGTTGCAGCTGTACAGGGCATTGGTTAGGCCACTTTTGGAATACTATGTGCAATTCTGGTCTCCCTGCTGTAGGAAAGACGTTGTGGAACTTGAAAGGGTTCAGGAAAGATTTACAAGGATGTTGCTAGGGTTGGAGGGAGAGGCTGAATAGGTTGGGGCTATTTTCTCTGGAGCATCAGAGGCTGAGGGGTGACCTTATAGAGGTCTGTAAAATCATGAGGGGCATGGATAGGGTGAGTAGCCAAGGTCTTTTCCCCAGGGTAGGGGAGTCCAAAACTGGAGGACATAGGTTTAAGGTGAGAGGGGAAAGATTTAAAAGGGACCTAAGGGGCAACATTTTCGTGCTGAGGGTGGTGTTTGTATAGAATGAGCTGCCAGAGGAAGTGGTGGAGTGCGGTACAATTACAGCACTTAAAAGGCATCTGGATGGGTACATACATAGGAAGGGTTTAGAGGGATATGGGCCAAATACTGGCAATTGGGACTAGATTAATTTTAGAATACCTGGTCGGCACGGACGAGTTGGACCAAAGGGTCTGTTTCTGTGCTGTGCAGCTGAGTGATACTAAGCATCATCCATACAGAATATGAAGAAGTAACATTTATATCAGAAAGCATACCTGAGTAGTCTTAAAAGGTAATTGTATAATTCTGAGATAGTAGGAATTGCAGATGCTGGAGAATCTGAGAATACAAGGTGTAGAACTGGATGAACACAGCAGGCCAAGCAGCATCAGAGGAGCAGGAAGGCTGATGTTTCGGGCCTGTGCAAGCTCAGCACTAAACCCTTGAGAGGAGAGATTCTGATAATGAAAAAGAATCATAATTTTGTAAATGCGTAAATAGATATTGTAAATATTTAATTTTATTTAGGTGCTATGGACAGTCGGATGTTTAAGAATTTTCCAGTGGATCTAATGAAGGCATTGGCTGTAGAACCTTTAACTGCAAATTTCCACCACAACAGCCTCTCTGTGAAGGTATGGTATTAGAACTTTTGTAAAAAGGCCTTGGATTCACCAGCTGGGTCTTGAAGTTCATATCTCTACTGAGTGTTAATTCTGGCTGAGGGCTGATCCTACATTCTAAGCAGACAAAGTTTTCATAGAGTTCCATAATATATCACAACCTTTAAGGCTAACCATCCATCTAAACTGGACGGAGCATTCAAAACCAGAAGATAAAAGAGAACAACTAGGCCATTTGATCCGTCACGTTAGCTCCACTATTTGATCATGGCTGATATGTCTCTCAGCCCCATTCTCCTGCCTTCTCCCCATAGCCCTTACTCCCTCTTACTAATCAAGTTCCCAGTGGTGGGTGTGTCCAGAACCAGGGGTCACAGTATGAGGATTCGGGGTAGACGATTAAGGACGGAAATGAGGAGACATTTCTTCACCCAAAGAGTGGTGAGCCTGTGGAATTCATTACCGCAGGGAGTAGATGATGCCAAAACATTGAATATATTCAAGAGGCGGCTAGATATAGCACTTAGGGTGAATGGGATCAAAGGTTATGTGGAGAAAGCAGGATTAGGTATTGAGTTGGGCAATCAGCCATGATCGTGAAGAATGGGGGAGCAGGCTGAAAGGGCCAAATGGCCTCCTCCTGCTCCTTTCTTCTATGTTTGTATGTAAGAACCTATCTGTCTCTGCCTGAAGCAAACTTAATGACTTGGTCTGCACCCTCTGGCTGAAGAAATTCCTCCTCTTCTGCATTCGAAAGGGTCATCCCTTCACTCTGAGGCTGCACCTTCGAGTCCTGGTCTCTGCTAAAATGGAAACATCTTCTCCTTGTGCACTCTATCCAGGTCTCAGTATTCTGTAAGTTTCAATCAAATTCCTCTCGTCCTTTTAAACTCCATTTGAGTACAGACGCAGAGGTCTCAACCGCTCCCCATATGACAAGCCCTTCATCCCTGGGATCATTCCGGTAAACCTCCTCTGGACCGCCTCCAATGCCAGAATGGGTCGTTCCTTCGATATGGGGCCCAAAACTGCTCACAATATTCCAAACGTGGTCTGACCAGAGTCTTATACTGCCTTGTTCAAACAAATCTATTTTTCAAAGTATTTGAAGGAAAGAGTAAAATAAAATCAAAATTATCAGTATAAAATGGTGAAGATTTTTTTTTTAAATGGGAGAAGAGAATAAGAACACCATGACTGGTTGTGGAGACTACACAAGTATTGTGTTTAATTGCGATTCAAATGTTAATTACTCCCACCCTAGTGTTTGACTGTGGCACAAATGCAGTCATAGAGAAAAGGCCTTTTGGCCAAGTTGGGGGTGGTGAAGGTGTGTGGTGGTTGTGGGGCGGGGGTGGGGTGAAGAGTGGTGGAATGGGTAAATGACTATACCATTTATCCCATATCCCAGAACAAATGCAGCAGGAAGAAGGATGCTAGGGTACTGAGCTGAGATTTAATTGTCACGGAGAACCTGAGACCAGTCCTTGTCAGTCAGGTATATGTGGATAGAAGTCAAAGAAAAGAAATTCTTATCTGGATGAATTTCACAGCAGCTTTTCTGGGACTGCTTAGCATTACATACAGCTTCTGTGACCCAAACAGCAATTTATTTTGTTAAAAAGTACAGATTTGGTCAGAGTTGGCTCAAATTGTCATATACACTTGCCTGATAGTTATAATGTCGCATTAGAATAAATAATTTTCACTGACACCTTGTATACACCACCCATTTACTGTAAAATATTGAAATCTTTCCATCCTTATCCTTCACCTATACTTTGCCTGTAAAGTTATCCTAATGTTGACCATTCGGTGTTATGAACTTTATAGATATTCCTGTTATTCCAAGTCATTTTCATCACTAATATTGAAGTCTGTTGTTCGTTGATTTGGTTTAGAGGGTTATGGTGAAAATACTTATCATAATTAGGACTAATTCAGACCTGAATTCCTTTTGACCTCTAGGATCTTGTTGACCTAGCTATTCTGTAGTGTGTGAGGGCAAGTGTAGTCCATTTTTAAAAAAATATTCAATCCTATTAGAAACTATGGCAAAAATGGGAAATGCCTTAAGCCAACTTTGCCTACTCTACAGAAAACTAAATTCTTCCGATAAATACTTTTTTTTCTTTTCTTGATGTCTTTAGCAATTTTCATGTGCTTTCATAACAATTTATTTATCTCATCAAGCATGATGTAAAGTTCGGTAACTTTGAGAATAGGTATAGCTGTCATTTATTATGAAAAAGCATTATCTAGATTATTTCTTTGAATGCAGTCTAGGCTCCATCCTTTTAATTAAATGGATTACCACCTTCAATAAAATGACATTATTGAACATTCACAAGATAGTATCACCAGCAGAGTCTCCTTACGCACGCACTGCCTCCTTGTTGGAACAAAGGGTGAGTCATCAGTGAAAGTATTGATGTAGCTTTCTGATTAACAGGGTCCACACTGTTGAGTCATAAATTATTTTATCATGAAGGAGAGGAAGAAGGAAATGACATTAAGTGCATGTCTCCAGCTTCAGCATTTGAAAATTTCATCCTATCGTTGGTGTGGTTCAGTCATAGAGATTTACAGCACAGAAACAGACCCTTCGGTCCAACTCATCCATGCCGACCAGATATCCTAAATTAATCTAGTCCCATTTGCCAGCATTTGGCCCATATCCTTCTAAACTCTTCCTATTCACATATCCGTCCAGATGCCTTTTAAATATTGTAATTGTACACATCTCCACCACTTCCTCTGGCAGTTCATTCCATATACACACCACCCTCTGCATGAAAAAGTTGCCCCTCAGGCCCCTTTTTAAAACTTTCTCCTCTCACCTTAAAACCTCATGCAGAGGAGTCCTCCCATTTGATCCAACCCTTCTCATCACCCCCTGCTCCTGCTCCTCCACTTCCTAATTATATTTGCAATCAACTGTACAATTTATAGTATTGTATAATAAGAGATTATTACAAGAGCTATAAGAGATATCTCTTATCTCTTATAAGAGATTTTTCCTACGGAAAATTTTATATTTTCTGTATAGTGTAGAAAATTGTATATTTAATTTCATGACGATCTTTTTCTGATTTAATTCCAGAATTTTACAAGCAATGCAGAATTAAGAAACTTCTACAACATCTTGTCAACTAATATGGACAGCAACGGCATAGAATTTATATCCACGATGGAAGGTAATTGCTAATGACAGTGCCTGTGTCCGTTCAATAAAAATAAGGCCCTCTATGGATTGAATTATATTGATTTATTTTCGCAAAATGCTCTACTTTAATTTTATTCCTCTTACAGAAGATTAATTACTCTTGCAGCATTTTACTTTCCATTCTTAATTCTTGTTATTTGAAGATATTTTTCATCATCATGCTAATCCTAATGACCCTGCTAAAAGGAAATGTAAGTGTACAGAGAAACCATCAGGATTGCAAGAAATAATATTTCCTGAACTGTATACTGATTTTGTAGATGCACATTAAATTTCTGCAGTGCCTTATTGCAACTCATCTTAGACTGCCCTTTGATTCGGAGGTGACATCTCTACAGGTTCACAAGTTTCTACTCGGAGACTTGATGTGGCTGAACTGGCCAATTCTTGATTTGTACATACATTAGGACATTCCAAAGAGTAGTGGAGCTGAACAGTAGCATTCTGCTCCATTTACTTTTCAGCTGCTGTTCTACTTCATCATGAAAGCATTTAGACTTGAAGCATGGTACAGTTCAAAGGATATGTTGTTGCCATTTTTAATGTTTGGTTTGATACTCCTTCTATACATCAATGTCAATGTGACCACTCTTTAAGGAAAGTTTCATAGTGTCTTTGCAGTGATTTCCTTGACTTTCGCTAGAACGCTAGCCATTTCACAGTTGAGAAAACAGGACCCGGTGGGGGAGACACTTTTTCAGTCATCCAGGCACAGAATCCAATCCATTAGTTTGGATTTTGCATGAATTTTTCCTGAATCCTTGTGGAATTTCTTCAAGAAAGGCACTAGTTTTGTTTGACAGCACTCCCATTGAATCCAGAGGTTGTGGTGGAGGCGTTTGCTGGTGGAATATCCTCCTTATTAATGCATAGTTCAGGACTCGCTGTATACAAAGCTGTGGTGGCAACAACTGCTATCCCCACCCCGCCAAAACCTGAGGCATGGTGACCCTCAGGTTAAACCACCACTAGTTGGCTCTGTCTAATGAGAGAGCAGCCTTATGGTCTGTTAGGACTAATTTGGAGGATTAAGATGGTTTTAAAAACAAACTGTACTTAACCTCCCTTCTGAAAGTGAGTGAAATGTATAAATATTTTCCAGATTGGTTGTGAGCTACATGTTGCATTCCTCTCTTTGACCAGGTTTCTTTGGGGCTGTAACATTGATTTTCTTCCACCTAGTTCTTGTGATGTCTTTGTGCTACTGGGACATTTATTACTGATCAAACTAGTCTGTTATCTGTCCAACAGGCATTAGTCCCTCATATGGTTTGAGTGACACAGACGTAACTTAGATCTTTCACCTGAACACAGCTAGATCAGGAAATTGAGAGTATTTTGCTCAAAGATGCCTCCATTTCCTGTGAATTTTTGACATTTATCCATGAATGTGACCTTCTGGCTGAAAAGGGTGCCTGAGATGACGAAGCCAGATTGAGCATTATTTGACAGCAAGTTGGCAATGTTGGCATTTCCTTTTCCCATTCAGTCTTTCCTGTGGAAGAGTCAGGCCAAGCCTGATCTTAAAGTTATCCAAGCATACAAGCATTTCTTCTTTAGGAAGGGCAGTAAGAATTTGATCAAGGTTTCAGCAAAGATCTGTAGCTCGGGCTGTGGGTGAGGTTGTTGACTTGCTCACTGAGCTGGCTTGTTTTTGTTCAGACATTTCGTCACCATGCTAGGTAACATCATCAGTGAGGCCTCCAATGAAGCGATGTTATTCTACTCTGCTTGGAATTTATACTGTCCGGTCCGTTATGGTGAGTAGTGTCACTTCCGGTTTTGATCTGTATGAGTTTGTATATGGGGTCCAATTCTATATGTTTGTTGAGTGCATTACGGGTGGAGAACCATGCCTCTAGGAATGCCTGTGCGTGTCTATGTTTGGCTTGGGCTACTATAGTTACCTTGTCCCAGTTAAACTGATGACCTTCGTTGTCTGAGTGTACTGATGTTAGGGAAAGTTCGTTGTCTCGTTTTGCTGCTAGCTGATGTTCGTGTATTCTGATGGCTAGTTTCCTTCCTGTCTGTCCGATGTAATGTTTGTGGCAGTTGTTGCATTGTATTTTGTAAACTACGTTGGTTCTGCATGCTGTGGGAATGGGGTCTTTTAATTCTTGTGAGTGTTTGTCGTGTAGTGGCTTTGGGCTTGTGTGCTACCATGATACGTAGTGGTTGTAGGAGTCTTGTTGTCAGCTCTAATATGTTCTTGATGTAGGGCAGTGTGGCTTGTGTGTTAGGACGTACAGTGTCCTCTTGTCTATTTAGTAGGTACCTGCGGATGAAGTTGCGGGGATATCCGTTCATACTGAAGATTTTGTATAGGTGCTCTTCCTCTTTCCTGCATATTGGCGTGTTGCAGTGAGTGGTGGTCTGTTTAAATAGTGTCCTAATACAGCTTTGTTTGTGAATGTTGGGGTGGTTGCTGTGGTAGTTGAGGATTTGGTCAGTGTGGGTTGCTTTCCTGTCGGTCATACATTCAACCCTGACGTCCAGAAACTGTTGTTTTCTTCTTCTTCTCATGAATTTAATCCTGATGAATACATTGTTGATGAGGTGTTGGATCTCTTCTAGTTTGGTGTGTTTAATAATGACAAATGCGTCATCTATGTACCGGATCCACGGTTTAGGTTGAATGCAGGGGAGGGTGGTGTGTTCTAGTCTTTGCATGACTGCCTCTGAGATGAGTCCTGAGGTGGGTGACCCCATGGGTGTGCCATTAATTTGTTTGTATACTTGACCATTAAAGGCGAAGAGTGTGTTGAGGCACAGGTCTAGTAGCTTGAGTGTGTTGCCATTGCTGATGGAGCTGTTTGTCTGCGTTCCTGCTTCCTCTAGTAATGTGGCCACTGTTTCTTTGGTTAGTGGGATGTCAATTGACGTGAATAATGCTGTGACGTCGAAGGATACTATAATCTTGTCTGATTTTTATGTTCTTGAGGGTATTGAGGAATTCTTGGGTTGAGTGGATGGAATGGTGTGATCCATCGACCAGGTGTTTCAGTCTCTGTTGTAGGTCCTCGGCCAGTTTGTGTGAAGGTGTGCCCAGGAGGGAGACAATGGGACTAAGGGGTGTCTGCTTTGTGTACTTTAGGAAGTCTGTAGAAGCAGGAAGTGTTTGTGCCTTCTGGTTTCATTCTCATGTAGTTCATCTTGGTTATCTATCCTGCATCCTTTAGTCTCTTCAGTGTCTGGGTGATCCTATTACCTAGCTACAGTGTTGGGTCTATCGCCATCTGTTGATAAATGTTTGTATCTGCGAGTAGTGCCTGTGCTTTCTCAACGTAGTCTGGTTTGTTCATTATGACAGTCACGCATCCTTTGTCCGCTGGTGGGATTATAATGTTCTTGTCTTTCTTGAGTTTTTCTAGTGCTTTTCTCTCTGATGTGTTCAGGGTGTCCCATTCATTCCTTCGGCTTAGTCTGGGGATTATAGTTTGTCGGATGGCTTGTGTTTTGTCCGTGAGTCTGTTGTCTTTTAATGTAGTTTCCAGGGCGGCCGTGAAGTCTGTTCTGTTCGCATCTTAGTTCAGTCCACGTAATTAGTCCATAGCGGACTGAACTATAACTCTACGCCTCTGCCACTCTACAATAAACACTGTCGAGGATTAAAGACCCCATTCCCACTACATGCAGAACCAACGTAGTTTACAAAATACCATGCAACGACTGCCACAAACATTACATCAGACAGACAGGAAGGAAACTAACCATCAGAATACACAAACATCAGCTAGTAGCAAAGCGACACAATGAATTTTCCTTAATACCAGTACACTCAGACAGTGAAGGTCATCAGTTTAATTGGGACAAGGTAATCATAGTAGCCCAAGCCAAACATAGACACGCACGGGAATTCCTAGAGGCATGGTTTTCAACCCAAATTGCAATCAACAAACATATAGAATTGGACCCCATATACAAACCCTTACAGAACAAAACCGGAAGTGACAGTACTCAACATAGCAGACCAGACAGTATAAATTCCCAGAGAAGTAGAATAACATTGTTTCATCGGAGGCTCCATTGATGATGTCACCTAGCATGGTGACGAAATTTCTGAACGAAAACAAACCAGCTCGGCGAGCAAGTCAATAACCACAACTTGATCAAGGTCAGAAGGAAGTTATTCACTCAAATTTGCATCATGATTCTTGTATCGATGCAGAGGACAGTTGATGTATTGATTATAGCTAAGCAGAACAGGCTCAAGAGCCTGAATGACCTACTCCTGATCCTATGTTCCTAAGCTATAGGTGAGGGGTCATGAGTCTTTCATTTAGACAGTTGGGGAGTTCTGCCAGTGAGTCCAAGATCCTACTCCAGATGACAAAAGCAACTCCACTGACACAAGACTCGCTGTCAGCTTTCCTTTTAAATAGAAAGTACAACTCCCTGTTTGAACCTTAGCAGCTGTTCTGCAGGCTGTTGAATCTCACTTTTGCTGTTTTGAAAGCTCATCTGTTATGATTGCAGTTCTTCTTACAGGGCAGTCAGATTATCCATGAATTTATAACATTGCAGTGTAGAATATTCTCGAACATGATTACAATGTGACTTCATCGTCAGCAATCACTCGCTAACAAATACGATTATCCACCTCAGAAATTCCAAGTCTCTGGTCCTGGGTCTCTGTTGGTTCTCGTGTTGTTGATGAGCCCGATTCTAGAACCTCTTGGAGTCACACAGAACATAAACAGTCCCATGCGCCACATCTCCACCCCCACACAGGGCACATGTTTCCAGGAGGTGGAATTGGTCCTAGTCCTGGAGATTGATGTGTTGTACTCTACCATCAGGAGATTACCACTTTAACAGGGTTTCTCACTTAAATATTTAAATTGTGTTTTTTTTCATTATGCAGCGCACTCCTCTCATGCCTGCAGATGTAGAATTTGAAAGAGGGATTAGACTGTCCCAAATGGAATAGTAATTAACTAAATAATCTACATACAGTTCCTGGTGTCCTTTCTCTCAAACTCTGGAAGCCTGCACTAAGAGATATGGATTGATGCCAATGAGCTTACGCAACTTGGCAGCAAAGTGACACAGCACAAGGATAAGCAAACATTCCCAGTATCCTCTCAAACAGCCCTGCCAAAAGGCAGCCCTCGTTCATAGGGTTGTTAAATTGTTATATAGCCTGTCTGTAAATGCCACATTGAGAACAAGGTCAGAAATCACACGACACTAGGTTAAAGTCCAACAGGTTTATTTGAAAACACAAGCTTTCGGAGCCTTCTTCCGGTGTTGGTGAGAGGGGTAATATCAGATACAGAATTTATAAGTAAAGGATCAAGGAGGATATATTAGATTAACCTAAGATGCTGTTAACCTTGTAACTGATTAAAGATTTTCCAGTGATTAATATGTTTTTGTAAATTCCCGAATTCCTTTCAAGTCACTGTCCTGAGAGAACTAAAGGTTTTATCAGTGTAAAGAAGAGGCGACATTTTAGGTCAGACAATGCGTGTTAGGTGTGAGGCCTTGTTTAGGGTCTGTTTTGTGTTTTAGTTTGGAGTCAGACTGGTTTTATTTGTAAAGTAGGAAATTATATAATGCCATATTGACTGTCTATAAATTATGGGCTGTTTGAACAGAATAGAAAGTATCTGCAAATACAGATTCACCCCATAGATTCATGTGAGTGTGTGTGTGTGTCTGTTATGTATGCATGTGTGTGAGAGTGTATAGTATGGTGGGTTCACTCTGTAGTGCAACATGAACCCAAGTTCCCAGTTGAGGCCATCCTCATGAGTACGGAACGTGGCTATCAGCCTCTGCTCGGTGACTCTGCGTTGTTGTGTATCCCGAAGTCCACCTTGGAGAACGTTTACCTGAAGATCCTAGACCGAACATCCTCGACCAACATCCTCTTTGTCTTCACCTTCGACAACCAGTTCTTCATCCAGACACACGGAACAGCCATGGGAACCAGATTTTCTCCCCAATATGCCAACATATTCATGCACAGGTTTGAACAAGACTTCTTTGCTGCACAGGACCTCTGACCAATGCTATACACCAGCTACATTGATGATATTTTCTTCCTTTGGACTCATGGTGAGGGATCACTGATACAACTACATAGTGATATCAACAAGTTTCATCCCACCATCAGACTTACCATGGACCACTCTTCAGAATCAGTCTCGTTCTTGGACACACACATCTCCATCAGGGACAGACACCTCTATACCTCACTCTACCACAAGCCCATGGATAGCCTCACGATGCTACACTTCTCTAGCTTCCACCCAAAACATATTAAAACAGCCATCCCCTATGGGCAAACCCTACACATACACAGGATCTGTTCGGATGAGGAGGAATGCAATGGACACCTGCAGGTGTTGAAGGACGCCCTCATAGGAACAGGATACAATGCTCAACTCATCGATCACCAGTTCCAACATGCCACAGCGAAAAACTGTAATGACCTCCTCAGAAGACAGACACGGGATACATCTGATAGGGTGCCCTTCGTCGTACAGTACTTCCTGGGAGCGGAGAAACTACACCATGTTCTTCGCAGCCTTCAATACATTATCGATGATGAAGAGCACCTCGTCAAATCTTCCCCAGACATCCACTTCTTGCCCTCAAACAACCACCAAACCTTAAACAGACCATTGTTCGCAGCAAACTATCCAGCCCTCAGGACAGCATCGACCACAACACTCTACAACCCTGCCATGGCAACCTCTGCAAGATGTGTCAGACCGTCGATCGTACCATCACACGTGGGAACACCACCCACCATGTACATGGCAGACACTCATGTGACTCGGCCAACGTTGTCTATCTCATACACTGCAGGCAAGGATGCCCCGAGGTATGGTATATTGGTGAAACCATGCAGATACTACGACAACGGATGAATGGACACCTCGCAACAATCGCCAGACAGGAATGTTCCCTCCCAGTGGGGAAACACTTCAGCAGTCAAGGACATTCGGCCTCGGATCTTCAGGTAAACGTCCTCCAAGATGGACTTCGGGATGCACAACAATGCAGAGTCACCGAGCAGAGGCTGATAGACAAGGTCGGTACCCAAGAGGACGGCCTCAACCGGGATTTTGGGTTCATGTCGCACTACAGGTGATCCCACCACACTATACACTCTCACACACTCACACTCACTCGCGTGCGCGCGCGCACACACACACACACACACACACACACACACACACACACACACACAC